TGGAGTTGGTTCATTTTTCTTCAAAAAATGGGAGGCGTCGAGGAGGTTTGTCGGTCGGATTTGTGGTGCAACAACTTAGGGTTGATGGATTTCTGGATGTTGGAGAAGGAGGAAAGAAAAATGGCAAGGGTATATCAGAGATGGTGACGAATGAGGGAGAGAGAATATGTGATTTATTCGAAAGGAAGAGTGGCGGCGGTGGAGACAAATTTCTCCGGTGAAATTTGACTACTTCACCATGGGAATGGAGGAGAAGATGTATAGTAATCTTTACTTCCAAATTTAGTTTGAATTATTTATTTTATTTTATTAGTACCTTTTATATAATAATTTTTGTTAAATTTTTAAAAGTAATTAATAAATATTATTATGACATGTTTTAATATATCCATGTCATATATTTAAGGGAGAGTGGACTACACACATGATAGAAAGGGTTTAACAATGTTCTTTTGATTGAGAATCTAAATGTTCAGTTGAGAAATGATTAAGTAGAAGGGTCCATAATACAAGCACATAAAAGTATAAGGGTTTACTAGATCATTTCACCGATAAGAGATGACCAATACAAAGACGTGAAGGGGCAAGTCAACAGAGTTCTACAAATTGGTTGAAGATTTTAAGTCAGACAAAATCGTTTTGTTGGGTAGTTCGTGATTGATATACTAATGAAAAAACTGTCGCAATCATACAATGATTTCAAATATAATTGGAACTATGAAAAGTTAATATTGTGAAAGACAATAAGTTTCTCAACAAAATAAAATATGAAAAACAAGTTGATTTTCAACCTAAAAAGAAAATAAAAAATAAAAATAATGACTGAATAATTAAGCATCAATAATTGAAATATCATCCACAACTTACCATTGTGTAAACTCGATCGATGACCCGTGCAAAAGTAAAGAGTTTAATTTGTAGGTACGGATGATATAACTAATATTTATGTAATAAAGTTTATTTAAACATGTAAACTCGATCGATGACCCATCCAAAAGTAAAGAGTTTAATTTGTAGGTACGGATGATATAACTAATATTTATATAATAAATTTTATTTAAACAGTAACCATAGATAATATTATTTAATAAACATTGTTTAATAACCTATAACAAATAGTGCATACCAAATGATTGGGACATAGCCCGTACATCAAATTCAAAAGTGAAAGTGCAGACAAAAGGGAAACCATAGCTCAGTCCTTAGGAACATGAGGACTCACCAATCTTCAAGCTTCTATATGAGATTCCTAGCCATGAAAGTGTGAATCTGTAAGATCGATCGTTATATTTGGGGAAATGTACGCAAGTGTATGCGTTAATACGAATGTATACTAAGTAAGACAACCATGTATTAAGCGTAAAGATCATGAAAAATGGACATTTTTGTAATAAGCAATGACCAAAATAAATTATGATATAAAAGAGTTAAAAAAACAAAAGTCATAAAATATGGTCAAAGTAGACATCTTCTTAAAACACATGTGAGACACTTATGATGTAACCTTGATTCATTAACGTGGAAGGATTACCTATAACCAATATGTAAGACCATGAGAGCTATCAACATGAAATTTGGTGTCTCTCACACCAAAAAGAAATGTCCTACTTGCCAAGGCAAGACCATGAACTTCTAACTAGATTACGTGGATCCACTAGCTAATATCTATCTAAACAATCCTATCTTGGCACATAGTTTATGGTAGATGGGTAATCTCCAATTATTCACGCGATGCTAAGCATAAATCCCAAATAATATTCATTTGTCTTATTCATCTTTTCTTTAAAGAACATGGGTAATCGGCTCTTGTTCTTTTATCATATGACATGGGTAATCGCCTCTTGTCTTTCATTAGAGATCATGGATAATCACCGATTACCTCAGTTTTAGAATAGATCCTTAACTCTTATTCATTTTAGGTGGGAAGAACTTTCAACCTTAGAGTTATTTATGTGAGAAATCCTTTCTCGTTCGTGCATGAGGTAGTCATGTGAGAAATCCTTTTCAAAACAATTAACAATAACACCAACCACATTTATGCTCTATTCTCAAATTAATTGTATCATATTTCATAATTTTCATACGGACATACATAATTACATAAATTAACTTTCATAATTCAAAGCGGACTTTAAATCATCAATATTTAAAAAACATGTGTTAACTATGAGTTCATGGGAATTCTATATTTAGAAGAACCCATGACATGGAAGAAAAACTCTAAATCAATTGGGGATTTTTAACTTTGTATATTGGAGAATTTAGGAAATCTATGGAGGAAAGGGCTCCATAGATGAGAAATATCATACTTCAATGCTAAAAGTTTGTCTCTAATGGAGGAATTGTAGACTTGACTTGAAACATTAGGTTGAATCCTTCTTCTTCAAAAGCTTTCTACAGAGAAAATTATTTTGAAGAGGAAGATTTGTTCTTGTTTTAAGAATTTGTGAGAATGTCTTCAATTAGAGAAACTAGAGGTTAAAAATACTTATATAAGACTTATAGGTAAGGGTAAAACGACTTAGTATTAGGATAGAATAATCATGACACGACCCAAAATACCATGACTTAAAACTGACGCGACCCCCTTCACGATTTGGCCTTCACGACCCGTCAAGGAATCCCCGAGCCTTCCCGGAAGTAATGGTCCTTGACCAGTGGCTAGGGGAGGACCCCTATGGTCTTGACCCTATTTACTACTACCTTAATGGTTCGTGATTCGCATCACGGTCCGTGTAACGGTTTGTGGGGGGGGAACCTTCTTAGATAGGTTCCGAAAGCTCTTAACGAGCATAAAAAATGAGTTATGGTCCCCTTCAACGAGGCATGAAATATTCTCGTGATGTGTATAAATTTCAGCAAGGTATGAAATCTTCTCGCGATGTACAAATTTTGACGAGGCATGGAATCTTCTCCTGATGTATAATTTCTTGCGGGGTATGAATATTTTCTCGCGATGCTTGGATATTAACTCGCGATGCATGATCTTTCGCGATGCATGAATATTGACTCGCGATACATGATTTTCCGCGATGCATGGATATTGACTCGCAATGCATAATTTTCCGCGATGCCTGGATATTAACTCATGATGCATGATTTTCCGCGATGCATGGATTTGACTCTCAATGCATGATCTTCTGTGATGCATGGATATTGACTCGCTTTAAATGATCTTCTGCGGTGCATAGATATTCATATCGTTTACGATGATGCTAATGGTAAAACGACCGCCAGATAATATAATCGACAATAAAATGACTGTCCCCTCTGGGTAATGCATCGTCTTGATCGATAATAAAATAAATGACCTCCTCCGTGTAACGACATTATCTTGTTTGATAATGTGATGCAGATAGCGTCCTTTACGGAAACTGTAAACTCTCGCTTGGAATTTTCGCTTGATTCACCTTTGAATCTAACTAGACATTCTTTATAAATTTCATGTTGTAGGAAATTGATTGAAATAAACAATTCATATTTCTAAGTCTTCGACATAAGTGATATAAAATGATTCCTGCTTCTAGAAAAACTATTGATTCTTGTATGGTTTTCTCCTCCTTTAACTTCTCCATATTCATCCACCGGAAGAGTTTGCTAATTTTAGAGCAAAGCTATTAACCTGCGTCCACAAAAAATTTGTTAGTTTTAAAGATGAACTAATCTGTGTCGATTTCTTCAGTTTTCCGCTTCTTGTCCCTCTATTTCTGGTTGATTTCCCAATCTCCCGACTCTTGATAGATGAGACAAAATATTTTATGCCAAAACAAATGAAACATAAAAAGGAAAATTTAAGAGAAATAAATTTTCGAGAAATAGTATCTAAAAAAGGTCTCCGCCAAGTCATGTCATATCAGTCTTAACAAACTTCTTTGAGTCTGATGCTTGAAGGCCTAATTTATTATTCGCTGGGGAGTTTTCAGAGTCGCTTAGAACTTGTAGATAAACCCATGCTGAAATTTTGAGGTCATCCTCAAAATTTCTTTCCCAGTTACAAATCTCGAATCTCTTCTTCCTTGACTTGCTGAGGAAGAATCTTTTTTTCGAGAATGTTTGAGTCCCCCTCAAAAATTATGTTCCAGTTTCTATTGTAAAGAGAAATAGAAATCTTATGGGAGACATGACCGAACCCTGTTGGTGCCTACTTATCCTGTTGAGTCACAAATAAGGTCAAACGTAGTTCCTCTTAAAGGTTAACAAAAATAAAATTTACAAAGAAAACCGACTGAGGCCGATACAGGCCGCCTACGTATCCCATTCTTGAGAATTCAAGTTGAACGTAGTTCAGATACAAGGAAATAATAAAAGGGGATAAAATGGGGTGACCGAAGCCCACATAGGCCGCCTACGTATCTCATTTTTTGAGAATTTAGGTTAGCCGTAGTTCATTACAAAAGGATTAAAATTTAAGCAAAACAAATACAAGAAAACAAAACGATTACAAGTAAATGACAGGAATGCAAACTGAGGCTTCACGCGTAGTATCTCTTGATAGCATCTGAGTTGATAGGTTTGGGCCATATAGTGCCATGCATCTCCGACAAGACCAAAGCACCTCCAGATAATACTTTACGAACCATGTCAGGGCCTTGCCAGTTTTGTGTGAACTTTCCTTTGTACTCGTCTTGATGAGGAAAAATACTCTTAAGAACCATCTGACAAACCTCTAAATTTATGGTTCTTACTCTCTTGTGAAAGGCAAGACCCATTCTCTGCCCATTCAATTGACCATAATAGACGACAACCATTCTCTTCTCATCAATCAAATTAAGTTGGTCAATCCGCTTGCTAACCCATTCAGCGTTACTCAACTCAGCTTCTTAGATGATTCTCAAAGACGGTATCTGAACTTCAGCAGGTATAACTGCTTCTGTTCCATATACCAGCAAATATTGAGTAGCTCCAGTCGATGTTCTGATAGTTTTCCAATAACCCAATCAAGCATATGGTAATATCTCATGCCAACCTCGATGCTTGTCAGTCATTTTCCTCAAAATCTTTTAGATATTAGTGTTGGCGGCCTCTACAGCTCCGTTCATTTGGGGACGATAAGCAGTTGAATTTCGATGAGTAATTTTAAATTGCTCACATATCTCTCTCATCAAGTGACTGTTGAGATTTTTCCCATTATCAGTAATGGTAGATTCTAGCATCCAAAATCTACATATCATATTGTTGCGAACAAAATCAGCCACCACTTTCTTGGTTACTGACTTGTATGAAGCTGCTTCCACCCACTTGGTGAAGTAATCAATGACAACCAAAATTAATCTGTGTCTATTAGAAGCGGCTGGCTCTATCGGACCGATGACATCCATGCACCAAGCTATAAATGGCCAAGGTGAACTCATAGCATTAAGCGCGTGAGGTGGCACTCGGATCAAATCACCGTGCACCTGACACTTATGACATTTCTGCACAAACTTGCAACAATCATTCTCCATAGTCATCCTGAAATATCCAGCTCGTAGGATCTTTATTGCCAAAATGAGTCCATTCATATGCGTTCCACAAACTCCAGCATGTATCTGTTCAATAAGCTTCACAGCTTCAACAACATCCACACATCTCAGAAGACCTAAGTCTGGAGTCCTCCTATACAGGACTTCTCCACTTAGAAAGAAATGGAGATCCATACGACGTATCGACTTCTTCTAATTGGACGTAGCATCTCTGTGATAAGTTCCATACTCCAAATACTTCTTTATATCGAAATTCCAAGGCCAACTTTCTGGTTCTGCTTCAACATGGGAACAATGGACTGGATGTTCTTTCAACTCTATATCCAGAGAATCAATATAATCTGTATCCGGATGTTTAATCATCGAAGCGATGGTGGCAAGAGCATAGGCCAATTCATTCTGTATTCTGGGAGTATGTCTGAACTCGATTTTACGGAATCTTTTGCACAATTTCTACACATACTGTACGTAAGGTATAATCTTCGGGTTCTACACAACCTATTCTCCTTGAACTTGATGAATCAAAATATGTGAGCCTCTAATAATCAAATAACTCATACACATTCATGTCAATGGCCATTTTCAAACCAAGAATACAAGCTTCGTATTCAGCCATGTTGTTTGTGCAATTAAACCGGAGCTTAGCTGCCATGGGAAAGTGTTGACCAGATTCTGACACTAAGACTGCTCCGATACCTTTACCTTGATGATTTGCCGCTCCATCAAAGAATAATCTCTAACCTGGACACGCTTCAGAAATGTCTTCACCCACAAATGACACTTCTTCATCGTGAAAAAAGGTCTTAAGTGGTTCGTATTCTTCATCAACGGGATTTTCTGCAAGATGATCAGCCAAAGCCTGTGCCTTTATTGCTTTCTAAGTCACATACACAATGTCAAATTCACTCAACAACATTTGCCACTTAGCTAACTTTTTGGTCGTCATCGCCTTCTGGAAAATATACTTCAGGGGATCCATTCTGGATATGAGGTATGTGGTATAGGAAGACAAATAATGTCTCAGCTTTTGATCTAGCCACGTCAAAGCACAACACGTTCTCTCCAGCAAAGTGTAACGTGACTCGTATGGAGTAAACTTCTTGCTTATATAATAAATAACCCTTTCCTTCTTTCCTGTCTCGTCGTGTTGATCAAGTACACATCCGAATGCGCTATCTGATACACACAAGTACAACAACAAAGGACTCCCTTCTCGCGGAGGAACCAATACGGGTGGATTGGACAAATAGTTCTTGATAGCATCAAAAGCGGTCTGACACTCTCCGGTCCACTTTGTCGGTGAGTCTTTCTTTAACAACTTGAAATAGGCTCACACACCACGGTTGATTGAGCTATGAATCAGTTGATATAATTTAACCTCCCTAAGAAACTCATCACTTTTTTTCTCATCTTCGGCGGAGGTAACTCTTGAATTGCTTTAATCTTAGAAGGATCGAGCTCGATACCCCTTCTTGAGGCCGAACAGCATCACCCTGTAGTGATATACACCCCAAGGTGTAATGAAAGCCATTTTTCCACGTCTTCTTAATCATCAAAATTTGGTGATAACCAGCGTAACAGTCTATAAATGAATGCATCTCATGTTTGGCACAGTTGTCAATCAAAATATGAATATTTGCAACGAAAAATTATCCTTCAGACTAGCTTTGTTGAGATCTCTATAGTTAACACAAATCCTGATTTTCGCGTCTTTCCTGGTGACCGAAACAACGTTGGCCAGCCAGGTTGGATATTGTGTTACTTCCACCAATCAGGACTCTATTTGCTTGGTGATCTCTTCCTTAATCTTCAAACTCAGTTCAGGCTTGAATTTTTGAATTTTTGAATTTTTTGCTTCACCGGATCGAACCCCGGGTTGATTGATAGCTTATGAGATAGGACATCAGTACTCAACTCTTGTATGTCACCGACTTCCCAAACAAACACATCATTATATTCGGCAAGCAAATGAACTAGTCCCTCTTTCTGAGCTTCCTTTTGGTGGGTGCTGATCTTAACATCTTTAACAAATTCTAGATCTCCCAAATTCACCGTTTCCATTTCCTCTAGATTTGGTTTATGCTTATTCTCAAACTGTCGAAATTCCTCAGTGACATAATATGGTTCCCAACTTTGTTCTTCATAATCGTCAACGTTGTCGTCACCTGCCTCATTTTATTCATGTAGCTCGTGACATGACATGACATTGGCAGGTCTGTAACTTATGTTACTGAAATCATAAACAGACAAAATTAGGAAAGTAAGGCATAACAAACAACTAAATAAATAAAGTTTAAAATAAAGAGACTTTCATTTAAAAACAATGCAAACTTTGGCCATGGCACGGGGCCATGTTGCCTTTTTGAACATCACAACGAAAATTCAAAAATTTGAACGGTTAAGAAAATGAAAAATGGTGGGTCTTGGGCCTCTTACGGACTACCACCAATTTTAATGTGCATGAAATGACGCCTTTCTACCGAAGAGTTCGGGGTATCAGGATTGCTTGGAGGTCCAGTTCTGCAGCACCTCCCCTGGTTCAGCATCGCGAATACCAGCTAGCTCGTCCTCCTCCTCGACAACACCATCGATCTCCTCGAAGAGTTCACAGATTCTTTCCCCAAAGTCTTCACGTCCGGCATACCCTCGGATCGGAGAGGATTGATACAGATGCGGGATCGGCTTAGTCAAAGATTGATCATTTTTCTCCTTCACCTTCATGTCATCATCTGTGGGGATGTACCCCAAACCATACCTGGATCCGTTAACGAGGACAGAACAGGCTCAGTAATTCCTTGGGAGTCTCTTCCATATCCAAACCCTGGCTCAAAATCGTTCTGCAGCATCACAGTGGCTATTTTCTTGTATACGGCAGGCATGGGGGTCTATGGGGCCAAGACGTCTCCGGTGGCATTCACTAGCTCCACCATATAAAAATCTGTACCTCGCAAAATCTCATCAATGATCGGCACCTTTTTGCCAAGTTGACTCCCCTCGCCATGAATAACCAACTCCTCAATATTCCACACAAGCTTCATCATTTGATGTAGAGTAGATGGGACAGCTCCCGCAATATGGATGAACGACCTTCCCAAAAGAAGGTTGTAACTGGTATCTATATCCAATACTTGGAATTGCGCACTGAACTCTGCGGGGCCCATTTGAAGGATCAAATTCACTTCCCCAAATGTGTCTCTTTGAATCCCATCAAAAGCTCTCACGTTGATCTGGTTTTGCTCTAGTTTCCCAAGGTCAAACCTTAGATGCCTCAACGTCGACAATGGGCAGATATTCAAACCGGATCTGTCATCTACTAATACGCGGTTGACAACCTTTTCACGGAATATCACGGTAATGTGCAACACTTTGTTATGTGATCTTCCTTCGACTGACATTTCATCGTCACAAAAGCTGATCTGGTGCCCTCGAATAACCTTATGAATCATGGCAGCCACGTTATCAATACTTGTTCCTGAAGGTACGTATGTATCATCGAGAGGTTTCATTAAGGCCTTCCTGTGGGACTGAGAGCTTATTAACAGGGCCCATACAGAGATTTGAGCCGGAGTCTTCTCTAAATGTTTGACGATGGAATAATCCTTTGGTTGCATCCTTCTCCATAATTCTTCCGCTTCTCCTTCGCTTATCGGCCTCTTAGACTGGTATTTCTTCTGTCCTCCGAGAGCAAGCTCGTCAGGAGTGTAACACCTTCCATACCTGGTCATGTCTTTAGGCTTGGCGAGATTTTCTGATGGCACCAAGGCAACAACCTTTATAGGTGTATAAATAAAAAAACTCTCTCTTTTCTTTGACGCTTAAAGAAGCAACAACCCTTTCCAAATCATCGTGCACGATGGGAGTAATCATCTTCGTTCCAAACTCGTCTTTGTCTATCTCGATCATATTGACATTGCCACCTCCATGATTCGGCAACGGGTTTGTGTTGACATTTGGCGCCGCCGGTTGGAGAGAAACTACCTTCTGATCGATCAGATTCTGAATTTTGTGCTTGAGGTTGATGCAATCTTCCGTATCATGTCCAACACTGTTGGAATGATAATCACATCTCTGATCGGGCTTGTAAAATTTTAAATTGACATCCACGGGCTTGGGCCCCACAGGGGGGATGTATCCAGCCGCAGCCAGTCTCTCATAAAGCTTGGTCCAGCTTTCAGCAAGTGTATTAAAGTTCCTTGAAGGCCTCTTTCAAATCTGGGTCGGGAAGGTTCATAACCGCTTTGTTGAAGGGGAGGCACCTGCTAATAATTTCGAGTATTTGGACGGGGAGCTTGGCTTCTAGGATATGGGTTTGTTTGGTAATTTGGCGATTGAGCTGGGTAGTTCGGTAGGGGATTTTGGTATAATGGAGCTTGGACTTGATAAATGGGAGGGGGTGCTTGATAGCTCGACTGTACATTGGCACAGCTGGAAGCAATATTCTGATAGGGAGATGGAATCTGGTAAGGTTGAGGGTAATTTGGGTATATAGGAGAAAAATTTAGAGCTTTGGGAGTGGGCTTTGGTACAAAAGAACTTGGGCGTTTGGATAAGTAGGGGTAGTATTATGGTTATTGGGATGACTGGATTGCGGGTAGTAAGTTTGGTGGGACTCTGGGGAAGGCCTAGAACGACCCTAGGAATACGACGAGCTTCTGGGGGTCTTCTTCCCCCATACAAGACAGCAGAAACTTCTTCTCTTTTCTTCTTCGGCAATCCTGAAGACCCAGGTGACGCGGATACACGGGCTATCTTCCCCGATTTCAAACCCTCTTTGATAGTCTCACCAATTTTGACTATCTCGGCAAATTTTGCTCCAACGAGCAACATGATTCTGTCACTTGCACCCGCACAAACACTTTCATGATCTCTTTCTCGGTCATGGGCAACCTTACTCTTGCTGCTTCCTTCCTCCACCTATAGGCGAACTCCCTATAACTTTCAGTTGGCTTTTGCTTCATCTTCTCTATGGAATACCGATCGGGAAATTTTTGATGTTGTAGGCAAATCGGTCGATGAAATCTTTGGCAAACGCATTCCAACTGGGACATTGCCTAGTTTTATGTGAGGTAAACCGTTCGAGGGCCTCACCACACAGGCTTCGACTGAAAAGCCTCATCAACAAAGCCTCATCCCTGCCAACTCCCACGAGCCGGTAACAATAGGCTCTAATTTTA